AGCGGCTGGCGAAGAAGAGGCCACTATTGAGGACCTTGAAGCAGCAGCAGCCACGGCAGTGGCAGCCGTAGACCCCAACGTCGTAAAGGATGTACTCGAAGTAGCCGTGCAGCTGGTCTTTCAACTTGGTGGCGGCCCGCTTGTCAAACACCTCCTGCAGGCACAGGAAGTCCAGGTTGGCGGGGAAGAAGGCGGAGATCTCGTGGTCAAAGGCCTCGTCCGGATGCCGCCTCTTGCGCGCAGCCGCCTTCTTCACCACTGAGGCCTTGTACAGCAGCTTGCTGTTGGCAGCCCCCGGCTCCCCACCGCCGCCGCTGTCGGCCGTGGCGCGCGCTTTCACCAGAGACTCCCGGGAGGCCGAGCGGCTGCCCAGGCTGCCCGAGTCCCCGTCCCGATGACCGTGGTTGGGGGTCTGGCCCCGCTGGCCCCCGCCGGTCCCGTTCTTGGCCTGGCTCCCCGGGGCAGGGTCTTCTGATTCGGGGGGCCGGCCCCCCTCCTCGCCACCAATGCGCACGATGCAGGCGTCCTCCAGGCCACCGCCATTGGCCGGTTCCCCGGAGGCTGGGCCGTTCACAGCCTCCTCGCTGGGCCGGCGCGCGCCATCACCTTTGTACTCCACAGAGGCCGTCCTCTTAATGCTGCCAGGGATGGTGCGGGCCACGCCATCGCTGCCCTGCGGGGACACCAGGCTGCTGAAGCTGGCCGCGCTGATGGAAGTATTGGTGGGAGAGTCGATGTAGATCTTGATCTGCGGCCGGCTGGCCCCATTGCGGATCCTCTGCCCGATCTCTTTGGCCCGGGCGTGCACGTGGAAAAGGTTGTTGAGCCTGGCCAAGGATTCCGGAAGGAGGCAGAGGTTGGCAGAGCTGAAGCAGAAGCTCTTGCCGGTGCCCGTACCCCTCCATTCACCAAGCAGGGCTGCGCCCTCGGCCAGGCCCTTGTCCTCCAGCCGCGAATAGACGTAGGGACGGCGGTAAGACTGCAAAGGTGACCAGAGGAGGAACCCAAGAAAGGCCAAGGGCAGAGTGGCCACCAGGAGGGCCAGGTAGACGGGCGTGAAGAGCAGGGTGCAGAGCAGCTGGAACCAGCAGCGGCAGTCTTTCCAGGGGCACGTGCAGATTTGGAGGGAGGTGAAGGATGCCAGGAGTCGGTCCAGCAGGCAGTAGCATGGGGAGATGAGGGCCCAGGACACAGCGTGCAGGGCGGACAGACAGCTATTGGGAAAGGGCGCTGTGTATAAAACCATCGCAGCTCACTGGGCGTGGCGCAAGGCCTGGCCTTCTACATGGTGTCTGTGGCAGCTTGGGCACGTCTGGGGGTGGGGCTGGGAGGGCAGCTGGAGAAGGCGTCAGCTCCTGCAGAGCTGGCCCGCTGGGTAGTCAGTGGCACGTGTCAGTCGGCCAGTCATGGTTAGCTCAGTGGGCCATCTTGGGCACTGGGTACCAGAGAACCTGCAGCAACAAAAGGCGGGTGGGCTATTAGAGATCTTCGGGGGAGGGCAGCTGTTTGTGCCTGGTGCCTGTTCGCCCCACTCCCATGGGTTTTGTCCTCGGAATAAAGCGTGTTGACATGTCTGCTCCTAGCAGACAACCTTGACCTTTTAATGTAATTGCTTGAAAAATGGCCTCTGGGTTCTGGAGCTTTGGGGGTCCTCTGGAGGCAGGTAGGGGCCCCAGGGGAGTGGCTGGGCCTGATTGGCTTCCAGCAGCAGATGGGAGAGTGACTCTGGGTCAGAGGTGCTGCAAAGCCTGTCACCTTTCACTGAGTGCCACCCAGACTGGAACTGCGGTGGGGGGGTGGCAACTTATGGTGTGGAGGACAGTGTGGCTGGCCAACCCTGGGATTGGGGAGCCAGGCCTACAACATCAGGCCAAGGCTGATAGGGCTCCCCCCTCCCCCCCCCAGCCCCGCCCCAACTCCCAGCAGAAATCCATCCCACTGAAAGTTCCAGGCATAGCCTGTCTCACCAACGTCTAGATTCAGTCCCTGTTCCTTCTGGGAGACACTCCCCGGGGGCTATTGGGTCTGGACTGAGCTTCAGCTGCTCTCTACCCTTGCCCTCCAAGATGTGGCCCCAGGGACCAGTCCAGGCACCCAGCTGCTGGGTCCCCAAAGCTGGGTCCTCCCCCTGGCACACCGGAGGGACTGGGAGTGGGCCCAAGAGCAGGCCTGGGAGTCCCACCTGCTAAGAGGTGTGCTGAATGGAAAATCAAGGAATGCAGCATTTGGTGTGTTTCCTGACCTTGGGGACCTGTGGGTGATGGCTCTGTGGCAAAGCTTGACTGAGCATAATCCTGAGGTCCGCTGTGGGCTGTACCCATGTTGCACCCAGCCTGACCCCGACCCTGCCTCCCTGCTCACCCATGCCAGGGACCTCGGTGTCCTCCCTCCCCCATCAACTGTTATTCCCTTCTGCCCCCGCCCCCTCCTCTGCACTGCTCCAGGACTCCACCATGCTTTCCACCATGTTGGCAGCCTCCTCCCATCAGGCTGTTCTTGACCGAGGGCCACAGGAACTTTCTCTGCCTGAATCGGACCCTGTCATAGCTGCCTCCAACCCACCGAGGGCCGCCCTCTGCCTTAGTTGCAACTCCTGGCCCCTCTGCCAGGCCTGCCCATCTCTGCTGCCCTGCCCCGTGTGGCTGCTTGACTCTACGATGCTGGTGTCCTGATTACCTGCCTGTTCTCACCCTCTTCCCAGCCCGGCTTATCTCCTTGGAGAAGACCTCCAGCTGCTCTTCCCTGCTGGCTTAGGAGGCTCCCAAGTCCTGGTGCCCTCCTGACTGGTCTCCATAGGTACAGCTGCCAAATGTTGACAGCATGCCCACCTGCCCAGCAGGCCTTGAGCTTCTGGAGACAGGGCCCACACCGCCTATTGCAGCTGTCTGTGGGCTGCACTGTGGGGGCAGAGAGGAGGAGAGGAGCGTATGGAGACAGACAGCCTTCCCTTGGGTCTGATGTGGGAAGCAGGGAGCTCTGTGACGTGGCTCCCATAGTAACCTTCTCCTGCGTTGACAGGTGGACTGCTCTTTCCAGGCTCAAGATGAGCCTACACCCTACACTGGTGGCTGCGTCCACTTTGGGGAATGAGTTTCACAGTGAGGCTGTCCCACAAGGCAGGCGGTGTACAGGGGTGGGGAGGTGGTGGGGAGGGGGACTCGGGATTCCAGGAACTGCTCTCTTCTGCCTGGGGCTCTGCCCCAGGGCAACTTGAGGGCCTGGACTATGAACTGCTCCTAAGCAGGTATGAGCAGGGCTGCCCCTGGGCGAGGAGGGCCCTCACCCTCACTTCTCCTGGCAGGGCCTAGGGAGTCAGCCCAGAAAGGAACTCTGAAGAGATGCCTGTGGCCTCCTGCCTCCCCTAGACCCAGTCAGTGGTGTCCACCCCTGCTAATGCCCGGGGCCCAGTCCTGACCTCTGAGAGCCCCTGACAGGGCTGACCTGTTTGCTACTTCTAGGATCCTGTGGATCCAGACCAGGCTATGGGGCGGCCACTAGGAGGCCCATTTTGTGACAGTCCTTGTGGCAGGCAGCTGGCCCTTCAGTGCACCATGTCCTCCCATCTGGGTCCAATGCTCAGAGGAGCTGTGTCCCCTGGCCTCCCACAGCACACTGCAACCTGGAGACAGCAGGGCGCACTCACTCACTCTTCCTTACAAATTCTCTCTCATTGCAGGTCAGGGCGCGTGGTCTCTCACTAGGGTGCACTCCCTCACTCAGCTGGGTGGGGAAACTCCCACCGACTAACTGTGGGGAGCGGGCCGGCTTCAGGCTCTAGTCTCTGCTGGCCCAACTGCAGAGTCTGTCCCCTTCAGCCTCCCTGGCGCCCTGCAGTCCCTGAAGTCAATACCAAGGCCAGGCTTCTGGGGTTACCTGGACATTGCTGCTGCATCACAGAACAGACCCATACCCCCTCTCCATGGCCCAAGGTCACCAGTGCAGCCAGCACCACTGTCACCTGAACTCCTACCTAGTCACAGCTCGCAGGCCACATGCCCAGGGCTGCACCATCATGGCCTTCCTGAGCACAGCCCCAATGTCTAAGAGGACAAAGTCTCGGCTCCTAATCGCCATCTAGAGACCCTCTTTGCATCCATCCCTCCCAGCCTGGCCTCCCTAGTGCAGACACACCTCAGTTCAACCCTGCCTCGCTCTACCACCCACCAGCCCCAACCCCAACCCCGGGCCCCCCACAGGCCTGGGGTACCTACCTTGCTCTCAGCCTAGAACACCCTTCCTTCCCCCTCATCTGTTTGTTCTTCAAACTTCAGGGCTGGGCTGAGATGTCACCTCCTCAAGGGGTCTTCCTTGACTCCACCAAGGCCGCCTGTGACCCTCCACACCTTCTTCACAAGGTACTGCTACCCTCTGCCAGGACCTGGAGCTGTCCACTGTTTGTTGGGGGAGATGACCAAGGAGGGACCAACTTGGTGTGGGGACCCTGATGCCCTCGGGGGTGGATTCAGCCCCTTCAAAAAGGGCTCTTCAGGGAAGCTCCCAAACCCAGGACTGAGGTCAGTCGGGACCTGGTCATTGTCCCCCTTGGACTGCGTAAGAGGAACGCTCCCTCTGTCAGCTGCCCTGTGTCCCCTTCATTCCTTCTGTGATCCCAAGAGCCCTGATCTTGCCTCTCCAACCTGGCCTGCAGGGACGGTGCATGAGTGGGCCTCCCGGAAATGCTTTTGTCCCCCATTCAGGCATCAGCAGGGCTTGAGGTGGCTGGGGCCCACTAAGGTGGTCCTCTGAGATGCGGCAGATCCTTGGCATGGGGTCCCCGAGCTGGCCACTCTGCTAGCTAGCCCAAGCCTGGGGCCACCTCTCAGAGGCCCTCACCCGCCCCTCCCTCTGCTGATACCCTGGGCAGGAGCAGCCTGGCAGGATGGGGCACTGTCCCGCCCTGCTCCTGTGTGATCCCTGCACTGCTGTACAGCCCTTGCTGCTGCCACCAGAGTCACAAAAGGACTGCCCCCACTAGCCTGCTTTCTAGGGCTCTGTGGTTAATTATTTTGTCTCAATGAATTGAAAGGAGGGTAAATAAACAACAACACACTAATTAGTCAGATCTACACTTTCCCAGCAAATGGGGAAGCTAGGCTCCCACAGAGAAGCTGGAACCTCCTCAGAGGTGCCCCTGCACCCAGCCACACAGCTTCCTTCCTGGCCTGGGTGCCTTCCTCACCTGGCAGAGCTGGGTTTGGTCAACTGTGTGAGACTCCCTCCTCACTCACCCCAGACCCACTTCTCTTCTTCCAGATACAGGGCTAGCCCCTTTGCCAAGCCAAGTTCACCGGGTCCCTAAAGGCCACATGCACTGAGCTTTTGCATCTCAGCCTCCCAGAATGCATTGCTCCCCAGATCTCTGTGTGTGTAGCTGCAAGGCTGCTCAGAGTGCCACGGTCTCTGGGTGCTCCTGACAGTCCCCCAGGTCATTCCTGAGCCCGGGGGCCAGTGTGGGGAGGTACATAGTGTCCAAGGGAGGGCTTGTGGAAGTCAGCTTTGCTGTCCCAGGGGTAGAGACCCCAGACTGGCTCCCTCACCCCAGTGCTCCTGCCCTCCATTCAGCTTGACTGACCCAAGTAAAAGCTGGGCACTAGGGTCATACCTCTGCGTCCTCATCTATGAAATGGGGGCAGCAATGGCAGGATTAAAGGCCACCAAGCCTGTAACAGTGTGGGCACCTTCCTTGTGGTCGGCCTCTGTGTGCTTCATTTGCTGGCCCTGGGCCCACAGAGGCTACCATGTTACCTTGGGTAGAGGGCCTGCCCACTGGCCACAGCTGCCCAGACTTTGGGCCCCTCCAGCTTCAAACAGCAGCCCTTCGAGGGCTCACAGTCCCCCGGTGGTTCAGGGGGCTGATGGGCAGGGCGGCGCGTGATAGCAAGCAGTTCCAGGATAGCTGTCTCGGGGCTCCTGCTGCTCTGAGGTTGCCCGTCTGCCGGAGCCAGCGGCCTGGTGTACTGGCCACCACAGCATGGGAAGGGGTGGGCTGTGTGTCTGAGAGGCCAGAACAGAGATGAAGCTCCTCCCTGCCGTCTACTGTCAGGCTGAGCTCAGGAGAGGGTGTCTTCAGTCATAGGGCCTGGCCAGGCCTGGACCCTTTGTGGGGACCTGCTGCTGGCATCAAGACAGCCATCCCACCTCCTAGCTCCTGTTTTTGATGTCCGGTTCCAAGGGGTGATGAGCCAGCTGAGGGACCAGGACCTGCCTGCACAGAGTCCCTGGCATCGGAGGTGGACGCTGATGTTGGGGAACAAAGCAGACGGTCTGTAAGACTGAGGCAAGTGCTGGCCTTTCTCAGGAGGCCTCTAGCTCCCCCCGGAACTCAAGCCTTGAGGAGCTTCTATGACTTAGGGTTGTGAGTTGCTCCCACTGGGTTCCAGCAGGGGGCCCCTCCCTCCTTCCTGCCTTTGGGTTCTAAGGCCTGCTGGGCCCTCTCTTCCCAGCATGGGGG